TATAAATCAGTTGGCAATTAGCTTTTTTCCCCATTAAAATATATTTATGCATCTCTTGGAATGCCTGAGCCTCATGTTGTACATCATGCAGAGTAACACCATGCTACAGTACAAGATTTAGCAATGATCTGGATGCCTGTATTATCTTGCCATGTAACAAAAGAACTGGAAAATTAATATGATCCTTTATTATAATAAAATAATTCTTTTTCTTGGTCTACATTAATATTTGAAGGATGCAGTTTAATGAAAAACAGCAGAAATAAATATATATGCCACATAAACTAACTTTTCCCAGCTCTTCCATGCTTATGAACAATCGAAACTCCTTGGAAAATACACTGAAGACAACCCAATTCCGATATGAAATAAAATTTCAACCATTTAAATTTTTCTAAAGAATAGAAATTTTCAGTATCTCTTCTTCTGTGTCCATGTAAAGAAAAAAAATACTGTCTATGAGAAGCAAAGTAACTAACCATTTTTTCTCCTCTCGCACCCCATTTTCTCATAGAGCTGCAGAGGAGAGCTATGTTAGATGAGTGCCAAACATAATGAACTTCTAGAAGTCAAGGCCAGTATGATCTTAGAAGAAACACTGTTTGCTCCAGAAAGACCAGGTAAGAGTTTCCAGACAAGCTGCTGAAAGTCTGGAAGACTCAGCACTCAGCACTGTTCTCAAAAATTTCTGGCAAAGCCATGTTGGGAAGAATTGTGATGTACCTTAAGACAAGTGGAGATCCTGAGGCATCACCCCAACAGTGTAGTCAGCTACTCTGTTTGGGTCAGTATCATACCTGTCATGACTCACCAAACTCAGCATTTCTCAAAATAAAAAGCCATGTGAAATCTTTAATATTTTACCATGCCTAGATTTCAATACTCCATCTCTAGAAGGAAATCACAAAAAAAAATTCACAGTCACTATAGAAATATTTAGAAGTGCAACTTCCAAACAGTGCTCTTCATTCAAAACCACTTACATCTTCTTGGATGTTTCCAGCTGAGAAATTAAATTAACTTGTCAACATCAAACTAAATAAGTAGCAGGTTGCTCATTAAAAGTTACTAGGACAGATTTTTTTTCTTTTTAATTTCCATGCTGAATTGGAAGCAGTTGCATTCACAGCTGTCCTTCATCCACATTGGTAGAGGTATCAGTAAGTCAGTTAAGATTTTATTTTTCTCCCCAAAATAAGTGGAGAACACACTATGTTGTGCAACTTGGAGAGCACAAAACTTTTCAGAATTTGAAAGACAACATAGACATAAAACGCTTTCCAAGGAAAGTATTTGCAATGACCTCAAATAAATAATAAATGAAAGAAAACAGATTGTGCAACTAAAACACAACTAATTTTGTAGTAAAAGTCTATTCATATTAATCATATCCAAGCACACACAAAGAAGAGCTTACATGATCCAGGGTCTGCTTTGCAAATAATATTCAGTATTGCTAACGCTCACACTTGTATTTAGATTGTACTCCTCCACATGCAAACAGCTAGCACCATAAATACCAAAATGCCTATCAACTCACAGAGTTATGTGTCTGCAGCTGAAATGCTTAAGTTACCTGGGAATGCATTCCACTTCTCTCTCGAAACATAAGTGCAGAATAACCTTCTCCATGGGCAATAGGTGAAGAGCTGCAATATTGAGAATTCAAAACTTTCCTGAGCTTTCAATAACGTAAGTTAGAAAGTTTTAGAATGTTTCAGGACAGACAACTGGAGCCATGTGAATTTGGCACTTTTTTGGGCACAGTCCTATAATTCAGGAGAGGAAACATTCTTTGTAGCTCTGTCTCCCTTATGAACATCTGCCCAATCATGGTTGAAAAGAGACATCCAAATATACTCCAGCTTTTCAGCTAAAAATGAAAAGGACATTCTTGCAAGCTGGGCTTCTTTTGGCTGCAGAGATTATCTTTTATCTGTTGTATGTCAGAATCATCTCTCAAAAACTAAATGTCAAAAATGTGAACATTCACAGTGGGCAGCTGTTCTGAATTTGGAGAACATCAGCTTCTGTTGGACAGTGGTTAACTGTTTGCTAAAGATTTTTCATATAGAAAGAATGCAGTCAGTGTTTTTTGCAGGGTCTATTGACTTCTGTGGCCATCACTTCCTTGAGCACAAACACTCTATCATAGTGGTGTTCTGTGAATGGCTCTTGAAGCTGCCCTCAGGAGCTACCAGCCTAGACTTCAAAAGCAGAAAGTTTTTTATCACTGTGTGCTTCGAGTCTGATATGGCATCACAAAAACAAGTTTAGAAGCTATTCTTGGTTTTTCCTGATATTATATCAAATATTCTTTCTGATACATCAGGACTTGAAGAATTCTGTATTCTGACCAAAGCAGTATGCTGGGCAAGTCAAAGCCCTAATAGAGCCATTCTAGTCTCGTAGATTGAAGTTCTCTCTGATGAAACACATTTTCTTGTGTCTTGGGTTGCAATGCAGGATGTAACCAAAAGTGTGTATTCTGTCACCGTCTGTTGAAACCAGGTGGGGCAGTGATCTTTATCTCTGAGGGACATATCTTCTGCCAGTGGGCCATCTGTTAAAACCAGGTGGGGCAGTGTTCCTTATCTTTTCCACAATCCATCCTTCCTCCAGGGAAATATCTTCTGTTAATGGGCCATTGAGTCCCACTGCATGACTGATAAAATTACATCATCCCATTGGGAGATGCTCCACCCAGGGCGAGGAGCCAAGCCTTTCCTACCTAGATAAAAACTGAGATTTGGAACACCAAGGCAGCCTTTTTCCACTGGATTCCAGAGGAAAACCAGACCCTTCCACATCATCACTGGACCTTCAGAGAAAAACTGCACACTTCTACAGGACCACTGCTGCAACAGAACCACATCTGTCACTGCAGAAGGACTGCAGCCACCATTTAATGGGACTGCCACCAACACCCTGACTGACTGATGGGGTGTCAGGTTGTATTCTGACTCTGTCAGCGTTTTTGTTTGGGTGGGGTTTTTTTTGTATTACTTCATTTTTATTTTAATTTTCCTGGTAAAGAACTGTTACTCCTATTCTCATATCTTTTCTTGAGAGCTCCCTAATTTAAAAATTTTAATAATTTGGAGGGAGGGGGTTTACATTTTCCATTTCAAGAGAGGTTCCTGCCTTTCTTAGCAGACACCTGTCTTTCAAACCAAGACATCTTGTTCTTGTACTCTTTCTTCAACAGCAAGATACCTTTTTATTCTTCTGAATGGATGAACTTGTAACTCCACGATATTGGGATATTGGCCAGAACTACTGTGCTTGAGGTACAGAGGAGACAATTCAGCAGACCTTTGAATATGAAGACACCCACTATCTTTCAGTGAGTCAGAAAAGCACCACAACTTAGTGGGCTGAGACTAGGAATGGTCCCAATGATTACACTCCCCCGTTATAGTTTATTCCATCAATCTAGTAGGGAAATAATAAAAAGCACATTCTGACAACCTATGCAAATTGCCTCCAAAACACAAACATGTTGACTCCTCATCCAATTACCCTATATGTTCAATAGATGCGGGGGGAAAAAATAGACTGATGGAATCTTTGCAAGCACATTTCCCTAAGAAAATTATTTTGAAACACTAAACTTTCATAAATGAAGAAATGCTTTTCTCCAGTTCTCACCTAAAAGGGTACCCATGTACAAGCAGTTCTAAAGCATGCACATCCATTGCCTATATACACCAGTACTGTTTCAGGAATCTCATTTGGATGAATTTCAAAACTACAAACATTCTGTTCTGTGTCCAAGCAGATATCTTGAGCTCTAATTGCATTACTTTCACAGATAAACCCTTGTTGTTCCCGGACAATGTAAGTTTCCAAATTAAGTTTGCCATTTCTCACCAATTTGACAGGCCCATTCCCTATGCTCAAAAGGATAGAGAATAGCTCCATCACGGTTCAACTCTGATGCAATGATAGGGAATGCACTGAAGCATTACGTATAGTCAGTACAAAAGCTGTGGCTGTGTTTGTGCTGGGGTCATAGGTAAAATTTACTAAGTTCCACCAGGATTGGAATTCTCTTTCAAAATCAGTGGCATTGTCCCAGATTGTTTTCTGAATTTCAGTGGGAAAAGTGCCTTCCTCACCTTCTCTTATAATTGAGGCAGCAACTGACTGCATCCACAACGGATCCTGGATACAGCTGAGATCCAGAGAGATGTTAGTGAAGCACCGAGTGCATCAATTATCAATTTGTGGTACCTTTTCCCAATTTGGCAATATGTTTGATAACAACCACTGTTGGGTTCCCAAAGCTCTTTAGGATGACTGCAGTGGCTGCTGTAATTTGGTTATATCTGCAGCTGTGGTAGCCAACTTATTCACTAGTACTTCTGAATCGATGCTATTCAAAATTCCCAATCCCGTCTCCACAACACCGGCTATGTCTCCTGTCATTTGTTTCTTAAAAGGACTCCACTTTTGCAACCAAGTTGTCCACCCCTTTGCAAAAAAGGTGAACAAGCTAGCTGAATTTCTGAGACATTGCATTGCATTAACAATTTAACTTGTTTAAGAAACCATGACGGATTAAACAACATTTGTTGATTGCCAGTTTTCCCAATTACAAATGGTCCAATTTCAAAAAATTCTAGTGCTCAGCATAACCGGTTGTTGGGTGGTAGGTGTTACAACATTAACATCAAGTTCCCCCCAGTATTTTGTATTTTTTTTACTACACTTGATTTTATAGGAAAATTGTACAGCAGTTAAATTTAGCCAACAATTCTAATTTTGAATTTCACTATATAAAACACGGCCATAAAGTCCTGTGCCATAACTGTATGCAGGTTCGATGAGGGATTCAGCAATTAATTCACAAGTTATAGTGACATCATCACCTTGTGTTACTATAAAAGGAGGAAAAGCATTGTTTTTGTCATCCAAAACTAAGAGGGTGTTTCTTCATGTCCCTTGGTGTTCTTCTGTGAAAAGTAAACACAACAGAGTCTGCCTCCAGGAAAAACAAGAGAGGTATTCTGTACCTCAAGTTGGAAAACACTCCAAACAACTATCAGATCCCCAACCTGAGAGCTGCGTTCTCCCTCAGTAATAATTTGTTCACCACAGGGAGTGTGGAAGGCTACTGCCCTATATTTGCCCAGCTTTCCCTCTCATTTGGCAGAAGCATCAGTGAACCAAGAATTTGCTGATTGTTCAGGGGAGAAAGGAGGGGCTACTTTAATTACCAAGGCAGGTTTGTCATGGCTATTAGCCAAGCTCTCAGTTTCTTGTATTACTGGACTTTTTACAGGTCCTTTTGTTACAGAGATGATGTTACAGTAATGTTCTATCTGAGCATACCACTTTCTTTCTAAGGATCTCTGGGCTACCCCATGAAGTGGAGAGGTCTCAATAGTGACTGTGATGTGTTTTCTTCAGAACATTCTAGATCCTGTTGGAGCTCTTTCCTGGATTCAGGCAATTTAATTTGTTCTAAAGAGGTTAGAATGTCAGGTGGAATACATGTCATACCTCCTTTCCACCAAATTCCCAGGAACTTCACTTCCTGAGAAGGTTTTTGAATTTTCTTTGAGGGAATTTGCAAATCAAGGTTTTCCAAATGGGAAATTATTTTTTGTTGGGTATCTCCCACTACTTTTATTTTGTTTCCTCCCACAAGAATATCATCAATATATTGATAAACAGCTACACTGTCAGGTTTGGGTATCTTTTCTAATTCCTGGGCTAAAGTGTGGTGGGCCAAAGTGGGGGAATGTTTATACCCTTGAGAAAGCCCAGTGCAGGTGTGTACTGCTTTGGCTCAACTCCCAGAGCCTGTGGAGGAGATTGCTTTGGTACATTGTTCAGAACTTGTGGAGAAGTTTGCTCTGGTACACTGCCCAGAACCTGTGGAGAAGGTTGCTTGGGGGGTGCATCATTGATATAAGCATATTCTATTTTAATCACAGGTTTCAAGTTGGAGCAGCAGTGTTCCCCACAATTTTTCATCAAAGTTAGGGTTTTTTGAGGGTGTATTTGATTAATGTGAACAGCTTCCTTCTCCTGTGTTTCTTTTGGTGAGTCAGCATGCTTTGAATTTTTGGCTCATTCTTCTCTTAGGTCAGCTTTTAACAAATTATTTCATCTCGCAAAAAATGGTTCTCATTCCTTTCTTGATCTAATTGTTTTTTGCAAAATTTGACCAAGATTTTGTAGAGAGTCTATAACTGTTATTTCCTCACTTCTTTGCTTAAAGTGAGTTTCTATAGCTGCCGTAAGACAAGCTCCCAAAACTGAGCAGAGTATGTTTTTATTTTTTCCCAGTTTGAATTTCGTTTCACGTTGCAAAGAACATATTCTATAAATCACATTTTCCAGATTAAACCAATTATTGTTCGCCCATTCCTCCCCACCTTGGGACGGTCTGGCAATATATTTAGGTAGTAAAGCATAAAATGTAGCTTTATCTGTTGCACTGGAATTTTCAGTCATTTTATGAAGGGATAAGTAAAAACCACGACAGGGAGGTCTATTGGTTAAGTTACACACACACACAATGAAACAATTTTCTCTGTGTGCCCCCCTTCGCTTCCCTGTGTGGGTGAAGAGAATGGAGCTACTTGGGAGGCACTCCTTAGTTACAAAACACTGGGTTATCTCTTTGCTACACCAAGTAGTCAATTCTTACACAAAACCAACAAAAAACAACAAGTGTCCCACCTTTTGCACCAAGAGATCTTTTGTAAATTCTGACAACAGAGCACTCAGGCAAATGTGGGGATGCTTTACACCAAGGTGTCTGCAGTTTGCGGGAAATCTGAATTGCTCCCCTTGCTTTCTAGACAGGCTCACCCTTTCAGGTGGCCAGCTAGGTGTGGCTGGAGCAAGACGTCCTTCCCCTGCTACAGACTACACACAACCTTGCATCCCTTCTGTCTGCCAGAAAATCCTGTCCGTGACGCCAATTTAATGTCACAAACCGCCAACACAGGTTCGTTTGATCTCAGAGGTGCAAACAGGCAACAGCAGGGGACAAAATCAGTTTATTCACAGCAATGCATTTTTATTAAATGCCAAACACCTCAGTTGCAATAGAGGGGAGAGATATAGGAAACAGAGTAGAGAGAGAGAGAGAAAAGAGGGGAATGGGAAATAGCTACCAACAGATGACACGGATGTCCTTGTGGTCTGGTCCAATAGACTCTGGTGTCCTCGTGGTCCCAGCCAATAGGCACGTATTCTGTGGGGAGACCTCAAGGGTCTCCTCCAGAGGGTCACCCTTTTATAGTCCTTTTCCAAAACGAGTGGCTTCTGGCCAAGAGGTGGGGAAATTTATGGACTATTGAGGTGTTCCAAGAGGCAGGTGTGTACATGCAGTACATGAAGGCTTCAGTTGGTACCATGACAGCACAGTCCATGAGCACAACACACCTGCACACAGTCACGTGGCAAGCATCCACCTCGACCAGGCCAGAAAACCATTGTCCAAAGTCAACCTGGGTGGAGATCCTAGGGGTCTTTCCACGAGGAAAAAACAAGGGAAACTTCAGACAGACCCTTACACCCTGCTCAGCAAGCAGACCAGCTTAAAGCTGCCCAGTAATCCTGGAACAACCTTAATGTGCTGTCTTGGCAAAACTCTTCTGCACAATTTCTCTTGTTCTGCACAACCTTGGCCACAGACATCTCCTCACCTAAGCTAGGAACATTTCCCAGCACATCAAACATCTTGAGGCATGTGAAACACCATTTTGCATGCCAAGAGGAGACTTCAGCCCCCTTCTGCGTGTGTCCAGGGTCCATAACCCCCGTTTTGTTGGCCCAGGGGCCCGAGGGTTTTCCCTTTGCCTGTCAACAAAAACCTCCAAGCAGAGACTCAACTCCCACCACCTCACGACTTATGGGGGCCTCCACAGTTCCTCTGTGGCCACCTTACACTGATCATGCTGCACGTGCCTTCTTCACCCTCTCTACCAGAGATTTCACCAAATCTGCACCAAATGCCAAGACACCAAGACAGAGCCTCAAATCAACCCTCATCATTTACACAGAATCTGTGCATAGAATTGTAACGCTCCCTCTTTGGCTCCTTCCCGCTCTAACGATCCCAGGTGAACACACTGGTACCAGCTCTGAAGAATGAAGGCTCCAGCAGTACTGCCCTTGGGTCCTGTCTGGGCTGCCAAAGTGCTCAGGAAACTACCCTGTGTGACCATTCTGGAGCCACAGGTGGCTCCAATGAGCCAACAGTGCCTCCCTCATTTGATTCCCTACCACACCACTCTCACCCAGTCAGAGAGGGTATCCAAACCCATTCAACCTCAGACGGGATTCTCCCAGCAGACTCACAGATGTCACGTTCCATAAAGAGGCACCAACTCCTGCTGCAGCACCCAGTGTCCATTCCAATCCCTGGCCGGTGCCACAGCTCCCTGTGCCCTCTGTCATGCAAAGTGTGGGCAGTTCACAGCCTCTGGTCCCGGGCTCCCACCAGCCACAGCTCAATCTGCAGCTGGCACTGCAGCTGCACACCCAGCTCCCTGCCCCAAATGCATTCCTCAGCACCTGCCTGCCCCGTGGACTGCACAGCCTCATCCTGCAAAGAACAGAGGCCTAAAGAAAGCAGCAGAGAGCCTTCTTACATGGGCAGGTCCTAAAAGGACGAGGGGCAATGGCACTACAGTGACAGAGAGTAACTTCAGATGAGATATTTGGAAGGAATACTTGCCTGTGAGGCTGCTGAGATAATGGCATGGCTTACCCAGAGCAGCTCTGGATGCCTGTTTTTCATGTAGGCAGGGTCAGCACAGAAGACACAGACACCAACTTCCAGAAATAAATGTAATTCACTATAATTCGAAACTGAAAAGAATTGCAAGTGGATAAGTAAGCAGGACATCATTAGCAAATATTCAGAAAAAGATGGCAATGCAAGGCAATCCTTATTATAAAAGACTGCCTACAGTGATGAAGAAGGACATGTCACAAGTTACCCTAATCCTCTGCCATCATCCAAGTCCACCCATGAACTGGGGGGGAAAGCACTGTCACTCTGTTCAAGGGTAGCTTCTGAGCCAGGCTATGAGCAGCCATCTCCAGTGCAAGCTATCCCGCCATGCCCAAGGCAAGGGGCTCAGAGCTAGATGGTCTCCA